AACCCGTCCACGTAATGCGTGCTAGTCTGTGTATGTTAATATTAAATTTAAAAAACCAAGCGCCTCCTATTGTCAAGCAGTACGCTTTTAGCCAGTATTAAACGAACCGTGACCAAAATAAACAAAAATATGTAAACTAGCCCAAACTAACCCAAAAAAATGCAAACTAACCCAAATTAACCCGTCCACCTAATGCGTGCAAGGAATTGGGTAACTCCGGTCATAGATTCATTCACGATTCACAGTTAAACTATTGATTTTTCGGCAAAAAAACAATTTTCCGTTCGAACAATTTTCTTTCGAACAAATTTCTTTCGAACAATTATTTTCGAACAATTTTCCGTTCGAATAATTTCCCGTTCGAATATTTTTCCGTTCGAACAATTTTCGGTTCGAATAATTTTCCGTTCGAATAATTTTCCGTTCGAACAATTTTCCGTTCGAACAATTTTCCGTTCGAACAATTTTCCGTTCGAACAATTTTCTGTTCGAACAATTTTCTTTCGAACAATTTTCTTTCGAACAATTTTCTTTCGAACAATTATTTTCGAACAATTTTCCGTGGACGGATTATAAAGCCTATACTTCATTTTAATATAACTTCTCATCGAATACGTTTTTCAACGGTTACGTCGGTTACATACTTTTTGTCGGACTAGCGATAATTACCTACTTTTTTGTAGGACATTGATTAATTTCTGTGGAAAATATGTTAATCTATCTTGTGGCTTTTGTGACCTACAGTTATTAATGAGAAAAATATTACCGTGAAGTCGACAACTTTTGAGTGTAGGACTGGAAAAAGTTACCTCTTTATTTGTAGGACAGTATGACCATTTAATTGTAGTAATATTTACTAAGGTACAGTAAAAAAATCAACTGGTTATTAATCATTTTTTATGTAACGCAATTGTTACATGTTTGAGGGGGGACATCATAGACCAAACCCTTTCTTTTGTCGGACAAATATTGTTTCAAATTATTCATAAAATGATCTCAACATTTAGCTAAAAATCTAACTGTTATTAATTAAATTTTCATAATCACCAAATCGGCACGTTTTACACCTGCGCAGTATGTTAGCTACCTGTTTTCGCAATTTTCGTGAGAAAACAGTTGGGCGTCTCGGTGAAATGAAGCTGCATTGAAAAAACTAGCTTGTTATTAATGATTTGGAAAAAAGGGCCTCGGCCCCCGGACTAAACCTTTTGTATGTTGAATAATTATAGAACAGCCATCAACAAGGGGCTCGTTATTCTTCAACACTAAAGCAAAGTCAGAAAGTTCTCGTGACTCAGACGCTAATACGGTACCGCTAACAATACGGTATTTTACAAGGTATTAGAGAGTTCTCGTGCTGTCCAAATTTCAAATACCGTAACGTTATCTGACAAGTATGACAGTTTTTACGGTATTAGCATTAGCGGAGCCCGCTAACTAACGGGAGTTAACGGATGCCTTACCGTAACGCTATGCTATGTTAGAATTAGTTTACGCTCCATTTACTCCGCAAAAACAGCAATTTCTAATAATTCCCCCATGAAAAACACCAAGGGAAAATTAATGAAACTCAGGAATCTTCAGGATTAAATAAAAGTTGGCAAACAAGCAAAAAAAAGTTGGGTTAGATCACTCAATTCAGCTATCAAAATGTAAACAAAATGAGGGATTAGGGGATTTTTATGTCTTCGTGTCCGAGAACTATAAAATGGCCTTTAAAATACCGTATTATTAGCGGTACCGTATTAGCGTAGCGTCTGAGGCACGAGAACTTTCTATTTTATAGTTCTCGGACAAGAAGACACAAAAATCCTCTAATCCCTTCTGTTTACATTCTGACAACTGAGTTCAGTGATCTAACCCTACTTTTTTTGCTTGTTTTCTAATTTATATTTATCCTGAAGATTCCTTAGATTCATTAATTTCCCATGGTGTTTTTATTGAGGAATCATTAGAAGTTGCTGTTCTTGCAGACGTAAATGGAGCGTGAATTAATTTTGATATAGCATAGCGTTACGGTAAGGCATCCGCTAAGTCCCGTTATGTAGCAGGGTAGGTTCCGCTAACGCTAATACCGTAAGCACTGTCATACTTGTCAAATAGCGTGACGGTATTTGAAATTTGGACAGCACGAGAACTCTCTACTGTTGATATCCATATTTTTGGACTCTATCTTAGAGGACTCCATCACTCATCATAATCAAATAATCATAATGAAAATAACCTTAAAATCCGTCAAACTCGTTAAAAACCGCGGGGTGTTTTTCAACCCAGTCCCTGAGTGGGGGGAATTTGGGCGCACTCTGGGAACGTCAACTCTCGATTTCTGAACGATTCCAGCGTAACGCTCCGAGTAAGCACCTGTTAATTTTTGAACGGTTTAGAGTTACTCTAGGGTCACTCTGACACCCAGAGTGCTATTTCTAAAGGGAGTGAACTCTGCGCCTACCGGTAGATCCCGTTTGTTTCAATGATTGAGTGCCTACCGTATATGTATAACGTTAAAACTATGGTAGGTCCCCAATTACCACATGATATAACGCCTATCGATAGGTACTGTTTACAAAAAAAATCCTGAGCCTACCGGTAGGTTCATAATAATTTAAGAATCCGTCGCCTACCCTACCTATTCATATATTATTATAATATGTGCATTTTTGATAGGCGATACTTATATTTGAAAAAGGTTTTCCACGTTTTTGGTGGATTTACGCTTCCGAAAATCTTCTCTTTGAAGTTTGGCGAACAGAGCGAGCAATCGGAGACTCAAAAATATTTTGAACAAGATGATAATGCATTGGTACCTATATTTAAATAGTATATTACAAACCGAGGTGGGAAGTGTTCCATTTCTAGGAATGAAACTTCCAACCGAGGTTTGCATACTATTTACAACAATGACAACCAGCACAATGTTGACCAAATGCTAAAGGCATTTTTTAGCGAGTTCCCGTTAGTTCCCGTGTTACAAGCGGTTACAGGAAATCAATAACCGATCCGTTTTTGCGAGAAAACGGTAATAGGGGAAGGTGTTTTCCTGTCATAAAGTGACGTCATCATTCTATAACACGGTTATTGTTTTTGATACCCAAGTCGAGAGTTGAGTAACTGAAGAATTCTAACCTTAGATTAATTTGTGTTGTTTTGATGTGTTTTTTTCTGAGTTATTTTTGTTATTAGAGGATATCAAAAAATAGCAGATCACGCATTATGGTCTATAAGCTGTCTCTCATGATTTTCTCCCAATAGGTATACATTTCAAGGGACACCACTATACTTGACTCGATAAGACTTAGAAATTAGAATATACAGGCGGGTGTTTTCAAACATAATATCGTTAATTAGTACCTAATAAGGACTTAATTATTGACTTCATTTCCTTTATGTTTACCACAAAATATAAACTAAACTCACTGAGAAATATGTATAACCGTTCTGTTTTAGCGAGAAGCGGTTTAATCCTAAAAATTTGCCAATGGTAGGGATATATTTTTGAAGTGGGAGTATTACCGTGTATAACCGCACCGGTTATAAATGGTTATTACTGGGATCTCGCTATAAAATGCCTTAAATAATTAATTAAAAAAATGTATTGACAAGTTCTGACTTATTTAAAAAAATGTTTGACATGCAGGACTTGTCTTTACCATTTAAGGAAATCAGGGCTTACTTTCCACCCGGGATCACTTTCCACCCGGGAGGAAAGTAAAATTCAAAAAAGTGTCACTTTCAAACTTTTGAAAAGTCAGAAATGCCAACATTACGTATGTGGTACGTTGTAAATGAAAAGGTTTTTCACGTTTTTGATTTTGCATCTGCGCTCCCAAGGATCCTCTTTTTGAGGTTTGGCGAGCATAGCGAGCAATCAAAGACCCATAAATAATTTCAAGGTGTGTGCAGAAGGATTTTCAATAGGTTGCCGTCTAGAATGAAGCAGATTCCAAACATCAACAAGTTTAAAGCTCAAATTAGAAAGATGTTAGGTAGGTACTAATAAAGGTCTATTGCTTAGTGGACGAATTTCATAATGACAATTCTACAAACAAACAAAATTTTACTAACGCATTTATAGCTAGCAAGAGCTGACTGGTAAGATATACGGATTCTAAAGTATTAAAGTAATAAAACACCTTCCCAGTTCCAGTAGGCGCTTGATCAATTGACGAAAAAGGACCTACCAGTATTAGGCGCACAATCGGTGGATGAAAAAGGACCTACTGGTAGGCGTACGATCGTTGGATAACAAAGGACCTACCGGTAGGCGTAGGTTTCACTCCCATTTCTAAACGCCGTCCGAAAAGGTGGAGTGTGGATAAAAATCTCACGGTTTTCGACGTTCGGGAAGGTGGTTGTCACTACAGTGGCTAAATAAACCTTTACAAACAGTGGCGCTGTTGTATGTTTATGGTTATGATTGAACGGTTAAGAGTTACTCTAGGGTCACTCTCACACCCAGCACCCAGAGTGCTATTTCTAAACGCAACCCTGTAGTTGTCACGTATGTACTGGTGCGCGCACCGCACTGGACATATTATTGTGGAAACGAACAAGATGCAGAAGGCAATTGGCTAATTTTAGACAAACTTGGTAAGTAAACCACTCGGTTACCGTTCGAATACCTAGAGCAAGACTCGCACACCGAAGTGTGTCGAACCGCACTTCTAGAAATAATTTTCACACCAACAACCACTAACCAGGTTCTCGAACGCAACCCTGTTGAAATGATCTTGCCTAGTTTAATTCTTGGGTCGGGTCACATGTTGTCCTTTTCTTCCACACGCAGAGAGGAAAAGATGGCTTGAGATGGACTTCAGTGAAAAGAGAAGGACAGCCAGCGAGTCAGCGTATAAACCATAACCTCTAATCTAATCAAAAATTTTATTTCAATAACAAACCCCACAATAATTGTGGGGTAAATATAATAATAATTATTATTATTATATTTATAAAAAAAATAAATTTGGTAATTTCTCAATTATTAACGAAGAATATAATTTAGAATGAACTCTCAATACACAATAGACACTGTACCACAAAACTTGAGCAAAGAAGAAACTATAGTGCAAATTGTGGAAGTCCTGGATCACCTCAAATCCGTTACTCAGGATATATTTTCTCGAATTGATAAGAGGCTTACACAGAACACGGACAAACTAACAAACATTTCAACGAGAATTGATGTGGCTGCAAATAAAATCAATACGTTGAAAGACGATAAAAAGGCCAAAACTGTGTTTTCGAGCAGCAAATACCCTGCTATTGATGTAAATAGAGATTATCATTCAATTTTCAAAGATGCACCAAAAATTGAAAGAGTTAGGCATGAAGTTAAGTACAAAAAATATGTTTCTACTTATGAGCCTTTGTCTAAACTTCAATTTTATCATGTGAAAATGCCTCATAAGGAAAATATCCGGGTCTCTGATGGATTAGGAGAAGTACCAGTGGACACAAAATGCATAAATGATCTGTTGCTATTCAACACAGGCAAAAATGTTTATAAAGATTTTAAATTTAGCGATTCCCTCAAGGGGCCAGAAATCACTAACAACAAAGAGCAATATTCCACATCTGAACTAGGCCCTGCACCGCCTTCAGTAAGTCAAAGGTCATCAATGCAAGGCATCAATAAAGAAAATTACTTTTATACACCAAAAGTGGAAGAGCTACCAGCCTTGGATGTACCTTGGGATTTACCTGACTTACCAGGCATTGCTGATGATGTACGTTATGAAATTGATAGTGGAATAAATATAGCCCCATCTGCAATGAATAGTCAAATAGCAGATTTAGACTTACCAAATATATTAGATGATGATAAGAGTATTGTAGAAGAAAGTGCTCCACCACCACCACCTCCCTTAGAAGTTATACCTGAACTTCCTATTCACATGCCAGCCAATCCAGCCATTGAAGTTGAAGCTAACAAGACTCCTGTAGAAGCTCCTACCATTGTTGATTCAGGACCCAAAGTTGTTGAAGAACCATCAGTCAATGTTCCACCACCACCACTTCCAGTTGTCACTCTGCCTGAAAACAACTCCAGAGCAAACCTAATGGATGCAATAAGAAAAGCTGGTGGTTCTCTCAAGGCAAATCTAAAAAAAACAGGTGATCAACCTCAAAATACTAAAAACGCTCCAACTTCAGGGGATTTGATGGCAGATTTGCATTCAAAGCTGCTGATGAGAAGAAAAGGCATACAGGGGGATAAGAAAGCCGATTCTGGTAATTCTAGCCTAAGCACTGCTGATTCTGCTTTTCAAAGACTGTCATCTATAATTCCACCACCACTGAAAAGCAGTGATGTTGGCAGTGTGGTGTCAACTGATGATGAAGCATGGAATGAAGATGATGAGGATTAAAAACGAACTTTTTCAAAAAATTCAATTACACCCAATATAAACTTGTGAAGTTTTATACTATATTTATGTAGGATTATCCAACAAAGACTGAACAGGGGCAAATTTTTGACTTTCTCTATATTTTTGAGTAAATCCAAAACAGCCAATCTATGTATTTTTTTCTGTAGAATTTAAAAATGTAGGACACGATTCAACTTGAAACAAAAGAGTTGTGATACAAACTTGTATATATTTTTTTTCCATTGATAGCACAATTTTTTGTTACATAGGTATTTGGACTCGTAGGATTTTCCTAAGTAAATAATATTGTTCCAGTCCAAATATAAAACAAAAAATATGGCTTTCCATTGAAAAAATTAAAGTTTGTGTCAACTCTTTTGTTTTAACTCGAATCTCTCTAAATTGCATTTCAAGATTCTATGGGAGAAAATACATAAAATGGCTATTTTTCTATTTTCTCAAAAATACACGGAAAGTCAAAAATTTGCCCCTGTTCAGTCCTCGTTGGATGACTCTGTATATACTATAACATCTACATATTTTAGTAATATAATCAGTGGATAAGTCAAGAAATAAGTCATGTGCCTGGCATATTAAACGTTTGAAGTAAAATGATGTCTAATTTATTTGATGGGTAAACCCTTGGGTAAACCACTATCTTTGACCACAGGCGAAAATTTTTACAATAAACTTTTGTATTGGGCAACCTTGAAACTTTCCACTTTCTCATTATTTTTTTTTCCTGAAATGTCTTGAACTCTTCAAACCGTCCTGATCTTTCCTAAATCTTCCTGAACTTTTTGGAACTGTTTTTCTCATTACTATGTGAGGGGTGTTTCCCCATATTTTGACACCTCACTACATACAGGGTGTCCGTTTTTCGAGGTCAACCATTGGGATCTGGGATCTTGGAAATGATAAAAGATATGAGATCAGTTAAATTAGGACAAAGTTGCGTTCAATGAAACGCCGTTTTGCCATTTGATAAATACCGAACACTTTCGGAGATATTCGGGAAAAATCGAAATTTCACAAAAGCGTTTTAATTTTTTTCTGGACTTATTTGAAGAGATTTTTTAAAACGAATTGCATTTCATCATTTCCACTTTTTTTTCCTCTACAAGATGATACCACTTTATTTCAAATCCAACGTTTCGTGACATTTTCGGTTTTTCCCAAATATCTCCGAAAGCGTTCCGAATTTATCAAATGGCAAAACGGCGGCGTTTCATTGAGCATCAATTACGCAACGTTGCTCTAAATTAACGAATCTCGTATTTCTTACCGTTTCCGAGATCCCAATGGTTGACCTCGAAAAACCGACACCCTGTATATTACAGTCCAGCAGTTAATTATTAATTGAAGAAAAAAAAATCGAGAAGTTCAATCAATTGAAATTATTGCATGAATTTGGAAAGAATAAAAATAACCCTAGCAGATTTAAGGATATTTTCTTCAATCAAGTAAGAGACTATGGGGGAAAGTCGATAATTTTTTTGGAAATTAATTCTTGAAAAATTAATGATGCTTTATAGGGATTTTTTGGAATTTGAGAAGGATTCTAATGTGACGTCATTGCACTGGAATAGTGAATGCAATACCGGGATACCACTGATCTCGCTCATAAACATAAACTCAAGAACTGTAAATTATGGTGTTACTCGGGCCTGGTACGCGCGAACTGGACGACGGATCGTGGTGAGGATACTGAGAGAAACTTTCTCACTCTAATTCGAAGCTGTTTGCTATTTTTTAATTTTGGCAGTTTTGTTCCAGTTCCAACTTTTAATAAGGACGTGTAGGGGTCGCAGTGCAACAAATTCTTAATTGTAGTTAAGTAAACAAAATTTACTCTTTTAAGTAGGTATTCAAGTGTAAATAATTATCATTATGTCAGCAACTGTAGCTCTATTCCAAGTTCCAACCGACATGAGAACCGTTCTAGAACGGTAATTTCCAGTCGATCAATTCATTTTTCGAGTAGGATGAACTCATTTAAAATAGGTGGGCAACTGGAAATTACTGGTTCTGGAACTGTTCTCATTTCGATTGGAACAGAGCTACAGTTTCCGACATATTGATAACTCGAAAAGGTGAATTTTGTTCATTGGCGGATCCACGGGGGTGGGGTGGTAAAGGGGGTAATTACCCCCCCCCCAGAGAGGCGTAAAAAAAAATTAATTATTGAAAAACACACAAGTTATTTTTTGCTTAGAATGCATTTTGGGCGTGGCAACCGAAAAAAATGTCTGCCTCCGGCGGCATCTGCGGTGGGCTTCACCTACTTGGTCCTACTTTGGGTGTGAACTAGGATTGCCAACACTCCTTTATTTCAAAGGACAGGCCTTTATTTTAGAATAATGTCCTTTGTCCTTTTGGAATGTGCTAAAGGGCGACAAATGTCCTTTTTTTTTTGAAGTACCACCATCATTCACCGCATAGTTTATTTTTAAGCCTGTGCCAAAACTACAATGCAATAAAAAATGTCCTAAAGTTGGCAACATTGGAAAAATATTGGTAAATCCCCGAGCTCCGAATTTGAGATAAAATTTAATATCCTAAAAATGTTATTTGGAAGAAAGCTAAAATTGGATGGTTTTCGAAGTGGTACAGTGGCAAAGCCCGCCATACGTCCCGTATTCTCTGATATACTTATGTATTTTTTAATTTTAAAAAGAATCAGATAGATCGACCATAAATAGTAACTGCGACTTAAAAAAAAACTCAAGATCCTGTATTTCCTTATAGACCCTGAGATCAGGCCGCAAAACTCAATTTTTACGTAGGTATAAAAAAATGAGGCGAATTCAGGGTGTGGTACCCTGACGCCTCAGTTTTTTTGTAGATTTTCAATCACAAGCCACAATGTAGGGTCCCCCTCCCCCCAAACATATTTTCTGGGTGCGTCACTGTTCCTGGAAAAAAATCAAAAATCAGGCCATAATCTATATTGTCAAAATATCACTTAGTGTCTCTTAGGGATTTAGAAATCGTACCTCCGCTATCTTTGTTTTTTTTCCAATCAAATTTTGGTATGTTAAAAATAAAAGGTTTCTGGATATATAAAAAAATTCTTCATTCTCCAAAGTTTCCCAGATTTCTAGGGAAAAAATCAAAAATCAGGCCATAGTTTGTATTGTTATCAGTTAGTGTCTCTCTAGAATTAAAAAAGTCGTAACTCCACTATCTTTTTTTTTTCTTATCAAATTTTATTATGTTAAAGCTAAAAGGCTTCTGGATACATGAAAAAAATCTTCATTATCCAAGGTATCCCGAATTTCTAAAAAAAAATAAATAAAAATTCAAGCCATAGACTGTAAGGCAAAATATCACTCAGTCTGTCTTTTAGATTAAAAATATTGTAACTTCGCTATCCTTACTTTTCTCCAATCAATTTTTTTGTTGTTTTTTTTGTTAAGTAAAAGGCTAAAAAAATCCTTCATTCTCCAAATTATCCCAGATTTCCAAGAAAAAAATCTAAAATCAGGCCATAGTCTGTATTGTAAAAATATCACAGTGTCTCTCAGATTAAAAAATTCGTAACTCCGCTATCTTTGTTTTTTTTTCAATCAAATTTTAGTATGTTAAAGCTCAAAAGCTTCTGGATATTTCAAAAAATTCTTTATTTTCCAAAGTTTCCCAGATTTCCTGGACAGTGATGCACCCAGGGGGAACCATCGGGCCAGTAGGGCCGCCCTTCCAAAACTGTATTCTTATGTATAAAAAATAAGTAAGGCAAATTTTGGGCGTGGCAAAAATCTAATAATTTTATTGGTTCATTTCCTTGGTGTTTTCGGTACCACTGAACCCAAAGACATGGCTGTCATCGAGCGGTGTCAGTTGAGGTGTCAGTAAATATTTCTAGGCTACGCCCCACTTTTCTTCCCCCTTTCGTCTCTATCAACTTACCACTTACCAGACTATCCCTACCTAAATAGAATCGCCGGAATAGATAACTATTGGACATTAACGTGAAAAACCAAAAAATCGGGCGTGGTTCTAAAAAAATTTTCGCCTGCGGCGTTTTTTTTTTAATTGTATGTAGGTAGGTACATTAGACCTCTGCTTCATGAAACTGTCCCGATTTTTTATGAAAACAGAAAAAAATATGGTAGCCTTCACTGGCACCCTCAATGACGTAGCACCCAAAAAATTTTCAAAATGTGTCCTTTATTTCAATAACGGAAAGTTGGCAACCCTAGTGTGAACCCCTTCAAGTATAGACCACGAGCCGTCACTGATTGAGAAGCTCGACCCCCCCCCCAGGATTGTGCTCTAGATCCGCCACTGATTTTGTTAACCTTCAGAATGCAAGTTGTGTAAATGAATAATTAAAACGACAGGGCGTTTGCGCAGTTATTTCCAAAATAATATTCAAATATCTTCTAATTTGTTATGTTAATCTTCTAATAATAATGTTTAAATGTCTTTGAAAAACATTACTAAATAATTTGATACTTGATATTTGTTTAATTTTAGTCAAAACGCTTTAAATCTGGTACTATATTATGATTTATTCGCAAAGTCACACAGGATTCTGCGGGATCCCGCAAATACCTGGATCCCGCAGGATTGGAAATGTCCAGTCCCGCAAATACCGGGACTGGAATTATCTTGCGGGATTGCATTCCCTACACTGGAATGACCTTTCCCTCTGAAAATGGAGTTTTTCACACGCTAGGCATTAGGCAACCATCTGAAAATCGAGTTTTTCGCACAGAGTTTATCTTTTAACAAATAAAAATGGTTGTTTTATTGATGTCCCATCTCTATTGATTTCGAAATGAGAGAAGAAGACAGCAAGTGCCATAGCGATAGGGATAACGATCTCTATCCGTTACAGAGTTCCAGCCCTGAGTTCCCTTCCAAAAACGATTCTAGCTGGACTTTCACCTGTTGACTCGTGAACAGCTGCTCTGTAAGCAAGCCATTAAAAATAGAGGCAAGTATTTGTCCCAATCTCGCTGGTTCTTTGCGACCACTTTTGTCAGGTGTTCCTC